AAAACTTCTTCCCCATAGTTCATACTTGCTTAAAAATATTTATATAAAATACAAATCATAACAATTTATAAAAAAGGAACCCCAATTTAGAAACTCGATAAATAAAATAAATAACACACATATATATATACACAAAATGACTCATTTCAAACCATGACCTCTACATGCCCATTAAGCCAACATCGTCGTTCTCTGATACTCTGCTGAGACTTCTATGATGATCCCTTTGGTTGAGGGATCAATTTTTTTTCTGGAAATGACTTACTTAAGCTCGGAAACACCCAAAAATCAACCCAACAATTTCCCCTAAGGCTAGCAAACATGTTTAATGTCTTATTTAGTGTCTTAAAGGTCAAAAGGTACTAACTTGCATGCTTACAACACACAAATACGAATCTTGCCATGGAAATTACTCTAGCAACATGCTTTGCTTACCCCATACATGCAACCATATTCATTTAGAAGACATTACAAGTGGTAAGGAAGAGTTATAGTGTGTTACCTCATCTCATAGCAACCCAAAAAAATGTCTATAACTTACCCAAGGATCAACCTTTCCTTGACTTAGCTCAAGGAGGGTTCTTGCACCATTTTTCCATCACTCAAAAAACACCAGTCGATTCCAACATGAAAGTGAAGGACACTAGGTGTTAAACAACAACTAAACTACATGAAAATCAAATAGAAATCATGAGGGAAGCTTTTGAAGCTTAAACCCTCACAAAACCTACAATGAGATCATGGCCACCATTAAAGAAGATGGCGAACTATTCAGAAAGCTTAAGAACCCTAGATTAAGAATCTTAACTCTGAATTTCAGATTGACGAAGGAGATGAAGAAATGTGCAAGCTTTCCTGTTTATCTAGCTTGAAAGAAGAAAAAATAATGAGTAGAAAAAAATGGAATGAAGGAGATGTTTTGGGGAAGAGAAAAAGAAAAATGCTTTGCCCCAAAGCTCTCTAACCCACGTAAAATAAGCTAAAAATCATCCCAAATCAGCCATGTTTTTCTTCAATGATATAATTACACTCTTGGTCCTTCCATCTTCTTCCTAAGCTTAAAAATTCCCCTTTTAACTTCTACATGGCTAGTTTGCTATTCAATTAAACTCAAATTCGAACCAAAAGAACCTCATGATACAAATAATCTATTAAATAAATTATTGGGTCGACACAAAACTAATAGGCCGATATTTGGGGCATTACATGATGTATCATGTTGAAATTAGAAGTTTAAGTGCTAAATTTGATGTTTAGATGGTGATTTGGATTAAATTGAAAATTTGAGGAATTATAAGGAGCTACTTGAAATTTGTGGAAAATTTGGGGACTGAAGTGTAATTATTTAATAGATGATGTAATATGCTGGAATTTAAAAGTTAGAATGTTGAATTTGATGCTAGAGTGTGAAATTGGACTAATTTGAAAATTTGATAAAGTTTGGGAACTAAATCATAAATTATGGATAAAGTAAGGACTTAAGTGAAAATTGTGAAATTATTGAGGTATTATGTTTTAGTTAAAATGCTAGAAATTTGGCTATATTAATTAAAGCTTGAAATGAAGTTAAATTTATAAAATTGTTAAGATTGAGAACTAAATTATAAATTATATAAGTTGTGGGTTTTGATATAGAGAATTTGTATAAGTTAAGAAATAGAAATTAAACATGTTGGAATATGTGAATTTGTGTTAGGATCTTGAATTTAGGATTAAATGGTAAAAAGGACTATATTAAATAAAATAGAAAAGTTGAGATAAAAAATTAAAAGAATTTAACTTATGGTTAAAATTACGATATTATGGCTTTGGAATCGAATTTGGAAGAATGTATAAGCTAAAGAAATAAATTGTAAATATTGAGAAATTAGGGATTAAAGTAGATATTGAGTATGAGAAATTAGGGACTTGAATAGTTAAATTGGAATTTGGCTCATGTGGGAAGTTGTATAAAATAGAGATCCAGATCGTAAGTTTTAGGAAAGTTGGTGGTGAAATGACAATTATAAAAAGTTAATGCATTAGATTGGATATAATGTGAAAATAATTGATATGAATTTAAATGGAATATTAAGGAACTAATTTAGATATATTCAAAATATTGAATTTATAATTGAAAGAAAAGTTTATTAGTGGTTAAATGTGAAATGTTGAAAAATCAAGTGAATGGTTGTAAAAATAATAATAATGATTACTTTAGGGACATAGAAGGATAATTTAATAGAATTAAAGCTAGATAGAATTAAAGCTATTTTCGATTTGGTAAAAGAAATTAGTACTGAATATATGTTAATAATACTTTTAGAATATTTATACGAACATGAGTTATTAAGTTAATTAAAATATTAATATATGTTAAAATAATATATGAAGTTGATAATTATTCTAAAAATGTTTTATATTATATACGTTATATGATATTATATATGTTATATGATACGACACATATTACTCATATGACTCATGTACCTTTGTATAGGGCTGTTCATTCGGTTAAAACCGAACCGAATTAACCAAACTTTTTTTTTTCTTTAACCGTTAACCGAACCGAACTTTTTTTCGAACATATTAACCGAACCGAATAAATTTCGGTTAATTCGGTTAATTTTCGAATTAACCGAATTTTTTAAAAATTTTCTAATTTATATAAAAATTAAATGTTTTTTAATTCAAAAAAAGTTTATAATTAATTTAAATAATATATAATTATAAAATAAAAATTTCAGATAACTTTTTTAATTAATTAATATTGATTTAGATTTAAAAGTTATTGGATCTTAAATTATTAATTGAGTTTTAAATAGTTTGGGTTTAACCCATATGTTATATATAATATATATAATATTTTTTAATTAAAATTTTTTTTACAATTAATTTAAATAATATATAATTATAAAATAAAAATTTTTATATAATTTTTTAAATTAATTAATATTGATTTAGGTTTAAAAGTTATTGGATCTTAAATTATTAATTGGGTTTTAAATGGTTTGGGCTGAGCTCATATGTTATATATAATATATTTAAAATTTAAAATTTAATTTCGGTTAATTCGGTTAATTAACCGAATTCCAACCGAATTAACCGTTAACCGAATTCTAAAAATTTTCTTAACCGTTAACCGACCGAACTAATTCGGTAACCGAACCGAATTAATCGAATTAATTCGGTTCGTCAGTTAACCGAATTAATTCGGTTATTTGAACATCCCTACCTTTGTGGTGCATGAGGTGAAGTGATAATTGAATACATCACTCATATGGCTAATGTACCTTTGTGGTTCATGAGGTGGAGTGATTATATGATATATGTTTATATGGCACCTACAGTGCAATTCTACGAGGTACTTTCGAGTACAAATATATATATGGCATTTTTAAGTGCATACAAGTGTTCACTCAATGAGACTCGGGTATCATACATTCTCATGATTTTGTATTGGGTTGTAAAATGAAATTAAATAAATAGTACGGTAAATGGTATAGTATATGAAACAATACAGTAAAAAAATTGTACAAAAAAAAGAAACGATATTTAAAAAAGAATAGTAAAGTGAAAGGATTAGTATAAGGAAAAGAGCATATAGGAAAAGAAACGGTACAAGTTTAATTATTATATTTTAAAGTAAAATTTTATAAACTTAGTGTAAATTACAATGAATGGTTTATAGATAAAGAGTTATATTGGGTTGAATAGCCATATAAATAATAAGTATATATGTGTGAGTAAATATGAAGTAAATATGGAAGTTATGACAAATATATGAAAGAAAATAATATGAGAATGAAATAAAAGTTCTAGAACACATACGAATAAACAAAATATGAAATACATGTTAAAATATGACGTTAATTTATATGATTCTTGATAAAATTGTGAGATGATGATTGTCAAATTTTCTCTTGATTAGTTCGATTTGAAAATAATATATGTGTATATATATATGCATAATGTGGAATTTATAATAATAGTAATTGTTGTGAGTGGGTGGTCGTGTGGCGGTAGACAATAACCAAAAGAATTTGTTTCTAATAAATCGACTATAGACGTACAAGGTATGATGAGATAAAAGATAATATGAGAATTATAAAATGTGTAATAATATAGTATGAAAAAGCATAATAAAGAAAATTGAAATATAATAAGATGCTAAATGGTTGTGTATGAATGCGATAATAAATTATGTTATAAAGACCAATCGATTGAATTTTAAAATTAGACAGTTTTAATTATAATATGAAACAGTATTAAACTATCCAGTAACTGCCTAAAAAAGATGCCAATTAGAAATTAAAATATATCATTACGAATTTATTTTACTAAATAATATGATAATAAATATTAGATTAGAATATTTTAAAAGAAACAAAATTTTATTGGCCTTTAAACAATAAATGCTATACAGAAACATGTGACATCTAACTTGTATTTGAATATGAATATGGGTTAAGAGTGTTATAATACATTCAAAAATTAAAATGTAAAACACGATGTTCATCAACTCGTGGCTCATACCACAGTAGTTGCAGTTTCCCTCATCAGCCCTGCTCAGTCCATTTCTTTCTCCCAGTCTGTCGCCTGTGGTTCGATTTCCGTCTCTGTTATTTCAGTTTCCTTACAACAACATTTATGGTTAGTGAGGCTTTACATTCTGTTAAAGAAATAGAGTTTATATATATATACAAAACAGTAAACACAGGGAAAAAGGCTTTCATTTTATATAACCAAATGCTATAAGTATATATAAGATTATATGGATTTGATCTTTTACATTAACTCAACATATTCACAGCTACTTGCTCTTCAATCACCCTTGAAGCAAAGCAGGCTAGGATCCAGAAAAATAAATCCAAAAACCTACAACTCTATGGAGGAGACAAGTTGCCTTTAATGGCATTTCAACCCCTACTGTGTTGTCCATTTCTAACATGAAATGTTAGCATTGAACATGAGACTGTGGGGGCAGGGCATTTGAGGTCTGCCAAAATGATAACCTAACATCATCCCCCAGCATCAACAATGCTTTTCTCCTCACTCTCTATAGGGTTTAAGCATGTTTTCAATACCGGGGTATCTTCCTTTTCAGGAACAGGATTCGGATCGGGTTGGACTGGTTTTGGTTTGTAGGTAAAGGAAAGGTCTTTGTTGGCTGCTAATGCCGATAGCTCCTTCTCGTCGAGACCTTTTGCCGGCCCAAGGCTGTATCCGTCTGTTGCGTACTTGGCCAATGCATCCTTGAACTTTTTGATCTGCGGAATCATACGATAAACATGGTGAAAATTTCGACAAACATATGTTATGCCAACATCAAATAAGATGCAAAACCGGTTGCAACAGCTCTGCAGCAATCTATACAATCTTGAAAATTTAGTGAAAGCAACATAATCAGCTTCGGTTCTCACAACAAGCAATTCACAACTATTATGCACCACGCACATTTCATGAATGTGACCTCCTCCAAGGAGTAATGCGTTTTCAACACTGGACTCCAAGTCCCATATATTTGATTGAGCATATCTGATAAAAAAGTGCATAAGAAGGGACGGAGAATGAGACTAACCGTTGCGTTGGTGCAGCTAAACTGGCATACACGGCCCTGAGATCCTCTATAGAATCGGAAGAAAGGCAGCACATGGACATTAAGGGTATAACACATGGATTTGTGTTTCTCATAATTCACCTGAAGAAACTGCAAATCTGGGTTCATCTTCGCCAATCGACAAATCTACCAGATCCCAACATCATAAATCACAATTAATCCAAATACAAGCAAAACAATAAAAATACATGGAAATGAACAAATATGCAAAACAAAGTACATGAAACTATGAGTCTACATTATTGTAAACATGGCAAAAAAATAGCCCTGCAATCACCACAGCCAGTCTAAATAGATGCAGAAACACAGCTACACAAAGCAAAGGATTTACACTCTCACAACCTTGGGAAAAAGAGCCTTGCAGCCCCCACAGGAGGGAGAGTAGAAATCTACTATAACAAGTTTATCATCAGCATTCAACAGAGAGTCCACAAGGTCTTGTGCAGATGTCATTTCTTTCATATTTGGTTGCAGCCCTGTCTCCCACCACTTCGGAGTTTTACCAATAAGCCCACTTTGCATCTGATTCCACTAAACAATACCAGAAGAAAAAGATAAACCAATAAGTTTAAGTTTAGTATCATTTATTTAAGAGCAAAACCCAAAACTTTTAAGTATTCAAGGTTTAGTCTTTGGCATGTGATAACTAAGCTAAGAACTATCTTTAGAAGGTTAATAAGAGAAAAAAGCTAATTACCAAGAAACTCAAGGTTTTCCAATAAAACATCATAAAATAAATTAAGAAGCAATATATACTAATGACATGCTTTCTCTTTTAAAAAGGGAAAAAAACGCATTTTTCCCAGAAAAGAAAGATTCTAGATTTGGAAAAGAACAAAAAAATTAATTAAACCAACCTGTGCTTTAATGGGAATTTGATGAAACCTTCTCCTGTTCAAAAATTCCCTCTCCAAATAGGCCATTCTTTGCTGATTGAAATCACACCTCAAAGCCATAGATTTCATCTTCAAGGAAGTAAATCTATTTCTGTTACAACAAAACCCAGGAATTCTCTTAGAATACAAAGAACCTCCACCACCTTGATTCTTCTTCTGGCTATAGTCACAAGCTGAAAAAAGTGTTGGTTTCCCCAAAACCATTGCCATTGTTTAATTTTTCTATTGTTTTCCCTTTCTTCCCCACAATCAAAGCCCAGATTGAGAATTGAACCCTGCCCCTTCAACTACAAAAGAAAATTAAAAATAGATATAAAAAAGAAGAGTTTTTGTGCTGTGTCTATGTCTGTTTTCTTCTTTAAAAGTGGTTGCCTTTTTCTTTGATTATATTGGCTTTGCCAATTCTGTTTTTTCACACAATCAACAACACTTAGCCAGTTTTTTTTCTTGGTGATTTTAAGCTCCAACGGTTGACTTTAACCGTTCATCTGTTTTATCCTGAGTTGAATCTAACCGTTTATGTTGTTTTTGTAATTGGAGAAGTGTTGGCCGGTTTTCATGCTGGTCTGGAGATGCATGTTATTAGCCAATTTTTCACACGTGGTATTAAACAGAAGATTTTGCAAAATTAAAGGGAGTTTCACTAGTGTACCCATCAATCAATCCACTCCATGAAACAATATTCCTATCAGGCATATGCTCGAACAAAAATGGTGCAAACTCAATCTCTCATTGCTTAGCCACGCCGGTGATCATCACATTCCAAGTAACACGATTCTTTTCAGGCATTTCATCGAACAACTTCTTAACACTCAACCAAACCCCCACTTTTTGCATACATATTAACCAACACAATTTGCACATAGAGATGAGACTCAAAACCCAAGTTTATTTCAACCCATCATGAAAATGTTCGCCTAAAGCTAAGTTACTTAAACTAGCACAGGCTTTGGTAAGGAAAGCATGAGTAAAGCAATCAAAATTGAAGTAAAGAAAGATGGCATTTTTTTTATTTCACTTGCAGAATAGCATCTAAGGCATTGAAGAGTCTAATAGAGTGGGAAAACGAGGCAGTTGTGACCAAGTGAGAGTGAACTCGAATTTTCTTCAAAAAAATTTGTTACATTTTCAAATATTTTAATTCGAATATTTCCATTTTTCAAACACAAAAATCATACATGTTTAATCATTAGTATTAATTTTCTATTCATGAAATTGAAAATGATGATTTAGAAGTAAACTATGGTTCAAAAATGACTGGTTTAGTAAGTTGTATTGAGTTGTATCAGATTGGCTGGTGCTCTTAGTGTGACTGCAAGAACCGATATGTTTCTTTGATGGCTCCAAGTAATCTTCATCAGTGCTTGAAAATTGGCGCTTGAGTTTGTTTTCCATGCTCGGGACCCAAGAGTTCAACCTGCTGCTGTCGCTGCTGACCGGGATCTGTCCCAACGAAGAAGATTCATGTCCAGTTGTGTTGCACTGATTATCTGCAAGGAAACTACTAAGCATCGAGTAGTCTGTGGCATCTAACAGATTGGAGAAAGACGATGATTTCTGGGGCTGAAGGCTAATAATGTTATCGTTGTTGGTTGAAGGGCTTTCCAGGGCTGGTAAAAGGGCATCTTGAATGAACTGGTCTGCTTCTTCTTCATCTGGAACTTGATCATTTACAGCTGCTGGTGTTTAAGTTAAGGCATGGGATTTTCTTGTATATGCGGCAAAGAACCCAATCATCCAACTAAAAAAATCAAATTTTTAAACGAGAATGAAGAATCAAACATTATTTAAGATGAAATGATTGGAGAAGAGGGCTCTTACCCTCATGGAGCAATCTTTGGACTTCAATGGTGTATTGTTGTGGTTGGATTTAGGGCTGTGTGAAAGGCGATATTCATGCATGATCCAGTTGGTCTTTACCCCTTTTGGAGGCCTTCCATTGTAGAACACCAAAGCTTTCTTTACACCAATGTTCGAATGCACTCCATCCCTTCCAGCTACAACTATAATCTTATCTGTCCCAGTTGCTTTCCAATACCCAGATCCAGCTGCCCTGTTTGGCCTTGCACCATTCGGGTACTTTCTGTCTCTGGGGCTGAAAAAGTACCATTCTTTCTCACCAAACACAGCCTTATCTGATGAACAACAACAAAACAAAAACAAAGGCATAAGGTTACCACATTAAAACAGGCTTAAAAATGATTCAACAATGAAAAGGGTTGTTAAAGGAAGGGTGACCGGGTAAGTCCCAGGGATCGAACTTGTAAATATCGACATCGGCGATGATGGAAAGGAGGAAAGGTGAGGAACTGAGTTCCTTCACTAGATAATGAAGTATGAGCTCTTCATCCGTGGGGTGGAATCTGAACCCCGGAGGCAAACCTGAATGTATGTGCTTCATGTTTTTAACGAATAAAGTTATTAACCATGACAAAGTTGAAGTAAATGAAAAGCTTTGAAAATGGAGAAGAAGACAGGGATTTTATGGATGTAGGATTTATCAATACTATCACCTCAAACTATTAAAAAAAATCTAAATGTATCAATTAATTTTCTTAAATAATAAAGGATTTTTTAATTAATTATTCCACGTGCTTCATTTGTAGTGTGCAATAAATACATGTTTACCCTAAAATCCCACCATTATCCACTAATTTTTTTCTTTGGATATTTAATCATATAATCTTATACCAAATATTATTATTATTTTTGTCAGCATGATCCTGATCAAGCTTGACTAGTGATTTAACCCTCACTTCCCCTTTTTAGATATAATGAAAAAATATATTACTTTTTATAATCAATCAAAGCAAAATCCACTAAAATTTAGAAAAATAGTTTAATCTGGATTTTTATCAGTTCAATGGATCCTTAAATTTTAATAATATGTCGAACTGTCGGTTTTAGAAAAAAAAATCTATTAATTTTTATTCAAATGAACAGTCTAATTCAATTTTTAGTAAAAAAATCAAATTTGAACATAAAAAATAATAAAGACAAAATAGAGAAGATATGAGGGTTTTGGAGCATATGCTAAAGAAAGAATAATAATAAGAATGAGAAAAAAAATGTTTTATGATTATCTACGATATATTAGTTATTTATTTTATTTTTCTGAGATACTGATATTATCCCTCAACAGTGCTTTTGTTTGGCTGAATATGAGTGCTTTTCTTTTCTTTCAGCTTGCTCTAAATGCGAAGTACCTGGAAACTAAAAGCTTTTCTTACCCTCAAACTCCATTACTTCCCATGTACTCACTAGGTAGCTTGTTCATGTAAGAATACGCACCAGCTAAGTTCCAATTATGGGAAAAAGTCATGAAAATGACCCCAATGTAGTTTTCCACGTGTACTTCACCTAATCTAGAGCCTAGTGGTCATCTCATGTCAAATGGCAATGCACCAGCTTTTTTCCATAAGAGGCACCCCGCCAGATAATGAGTTGAGCCTAACTTGGAACTAAATCTATGAAGATGAAACGACTTACAAAAGAACATATACATATATCCAACATTTACCTGTATCTGAGTAACATAATCAATCACATACCATCATCATATATCAACTCAGAGGGAACCCTTACACCACATTGTTCAAGCTTATTCAAGATAATGACTTACCTGTTTCATGGATTATGTCCATAATTCCTTTACATCCCGAGTAATACCATGGCTTAAACTCAATCCAGTTACACTACTGCCATCAAAATCATCTCTATCTTCGCCATCATCATAATCAGTATAGCCATTTTCATCAAAACCTCCAACCTTTGATTCTCTTGGGAATCAATATTTGAAGTACCAAAGGGAGATAATTGAAATAAGAAGCAAAAATTCAAGGGCTTGGTGATCACTGATCAGCTATTGATTATTTTTGGTGTTCCAACTGTTTTAAAGATGAGATTTTGATATCGGATTGGTTTTAGATGCACCGCAGACACACTTTACAAATTCAGTTATTCGGACTACAGATTTCTAATACGAACAAACACTTCCTTCTACTACCGCCAAGGTCGCTTATTGATTCAAGTTTCTCTGTGTTGTATTCTAAGCCCGCCACTTTCCTCTGCTTTCCTTCCTCATGTGAGGACTAGGTGCTCAGAGAATTTCCCCGTCTCCCAAACAGTTCGCACTTCGATTAAAACAATCAATCAAAAAATTATCCTTTTGAACTACGGTTGATCTACCTTTATTATTTATCTCCATTTACTTTCTTTGCCCCTTAAATGGGTTTATATTAAGCAAAATGGTAAAGGTGGAAGGGAAAACAAATCTAATTCATAAGCTTTTTACCTTTTTCCCCCACAAATACATGTGGCAAAGTTACTTCATGCTCACCGGTAGAGATGCACATAGCCAGATTTAAATTCGATCCGGATCAGATAAAAATCGATCCGATTTTTTCACTAAGTCAAAAAACTGATTTATAAAAAAACCGATTCGGATCATAACCAGTTTGGAGGGTCGGACGATGTAACCGGTTTCGGTTTAAAAAAAACTGATTTTTAAAAAAAAACTGATTTTTAATCCGATATAAAATCCGATCGTTTAATTTTTTCCCAAACCGGTTATACTATCCAATTTTAAAATATCCAATCCGATTTAAAAAAAAACCAATTTTTCCCAAATCAGATTTCAGATATTTTTTACGCAAAATCGGATATTCGGATTTTTTGTACACCTCTACTCACCGGGTGAGTGAAGAAATATTTTTTTTCTAATTAATATAACTTATTAAAAATGGTTATATCGTGAAAAATCCTTGTTGACCTATTTTCTTATTGAACGCTTAAATGTAGAGATTTAGTTAAAATACTCCCGATATAAGCTACGTTGTACGGAATTAGGTTCTAAATAATTTAATTTACAAAATACAAAATCAAATATCTAATTAAATAGTTTATTTTCTAAAGAATAAATCAAAAAGAAAAGGTTATGCAATACAAGAGGCGAATGCGTGTTTTAACAACTTTTTAACTAACAAAAACATTAGGGACACAAACACGTTGGTAAAGTAATCTGTTACAAGCTAAATGAACTAATTCAATTAAACCTCACAAAAATTATAAAAATCAGGAAAACTAATAAAAATGTATATTACCAATGAAGAAGATTAAATCAAACTTTTGTATTCGATTATTCCCACCAAAAATTCCGATCTACAATCTGAACGTGCAATGGTGCTTCGTTCTGCATATTTATTGACAGTGTATTCGATTAGGAAATGATGATGCTTAAGAACCAGACGTCATGGAAATT